TTTTGGTAAATGGAAAATGTGGGCGCTCGCTCGGCTCTAAGTCAAACTAATCTTTGTGGCATGTATCTGTGTGCGTGTGTGTGTTTGGGTGTTTGTGTGTTTGCGTGTTTGCATAATAATAGGAGGGCTAATCGCTGGCAAGGCTCTATGTATACATTTAGTTATCCAAAGAGGCCGACAATAAATCTGCTGAAGGCGCATTACGTATACGCACTATTCACACAAAACCCTTCAGATACTCGAGCGAACGTCTTAATGGCAACTGAAGTAGTGGAGCTTAGGAAATAATGACAACAGCAACCACACACACACACTCATATTGAGAGGTGAGAGTCCTGCGTTTCGCCTAGTAGGGTGGTGGCAGGAGGCAGAGGAAGGATGCGAGTGCAAAGCAAAAAGAAAGCAAGTAGAAATCTGTTGAATATCAAATAACAATCACTTGGCAAGCTAAATATATCATTATGCTTAAGTAGGTGGCCGTATAACTGGCGTCGAGGCAAGGACATACAACCACAAGGATAACGCAAGGATCCCATTTTAGCTAAGCTCACACGCACGCACACACACACATACACACAGTGAGGGGTCCCCGCACTGGGACTCAAAATGTTTTGCGCGTTTGCTTTGCTGATGTTCCCTATTGTTGTTGTTGTTGTTGTTGTTTTTGTTGTTGTTGCTGTTGCTGTTTCTTGAGTTGTTGTTGATTCTTTTGTTGTGTTTGGGCGTGTCGGGCTCGCCTTTTTTGTGTAGAGCAAACGAGTATTCCCTGTTATAATCCCCATGGCTTGCATGTTTGCTTAGCACCTACTCAGCGTATGGAAGGTGTGGGTAGCAGGTGCAAGCGCTGTGCGGGGCAGGGGGACGCGGCAGGGCAGCTTATTTGCTGTTGTTGCTTCTTCTTCTTCCGTGTATGTGATCAATTTGAGAATTTACAAATCATCGTCCATATTTGATTTGCATTGAATTTTTTATCGCATCTGCTTAGCTGCCAATACCTCTTGAGCTGATGTCTCTGTGTGTGTGTGTATGTGTGAGTGGTGCGCCTGCGGATCGAGCTCGTTTGTATTTCATAGAATTGCACAAGAGACTCACAAATTGCTTTCATTGATTGCCGCCGACAAAGCCGGGGCAAAAGAGATGCTCTCAAACGGCGCAGCCAAAGCACTGGGAATAGCTAAAGGCTAGGCAAAGGTTGCAAAGTTGCAAGGTGAGAGATGGCTGGAGAGGGGGCAGAGGGTGGCGAGGGCGCATTGGGAAATGACCTTAAATTGTCTTGTACCACAAGGGAGGGAGAGACGGGGACACCCATCTGCCGATTGCCCCAGAGCAGACTCAACGAGTGAGTAACGCAGTCTGAGAATGGTTTATAGCGAAGGCCATGGCTGTGGCTGTGGATATGGCTGTGCCTAGTTGACCCGCTTTCAGTGGAGCCGCACTTATGCCGCGGACATCTACGTGAAATTATTGCGCTGCAATGCATCATCCAGAGTAAACAGCGGCAGGCAGCAGCCGACTCCAGGCGAAGCTCTGCTGGTGACATGCTGAACAGCAGCTTCCTGCTGAACTGAAGGGAATATGAGAGCAGAAAAATGTGTTTAGGGGGGAACCGAACAAAGTATTTAAGCCCTAAACAATTGAAAATAAATAAAACGAAACGAAAACTGAGAAGCGAAACACGAAAAAGCGAAATGAGAAACGCGAAAAGCGTGAGCCAGACAGTTGGGACACAATTGACGGACACGCTACTAGAGTAATTGTTATCCTTGTTGGCTGTGCGCAGGCACGTCGCGCACTCGAAACGTGGAGCCTCGAATGGAGCGCGGACTAGAGAACACTACACAAAGCACAAACGCCACTTGAGCGTGGCACGCGCGCCATCTCTCGGCCAGCGGCAGAAGCAATGGCAGATGCAAGAGGCAGAGGCAGGAGGCAGCAGCAACAAACAGTTGCAACAGCAACAGCAACAACAAAAAGCTGTAAGCAGCACTCAGCGGCACGCTCTCAAGGGCTTTGGCAGCGCGGCTAGAAGAGGGCGTGGCAAAGGCAACCAGCTAAAACTGCAATCTTAAACTGGAAATTGGCGTTAAAGCCAGCAGATAGACTATATATATATATAGAAAGAGAGAGTCAGAGAGCTTCCCGCTTCTAGCTTTAACTGCAAAACATGTGAAAATATGTGCATACGTATTTAAATATTGTTTTTATATATTATTGACAAAAGTAGAGGAAGCTTATCAACAAGATAAATTAATCTATAGTCATCTATAGAGTTTCCATCTATGATAACTTAATTTTTATCTGCGGGATCTTCTATATGAGTAAAGGATATTCTATTTTTATAATGAAACTACTCATGAAGCCCTTTAACTCATCAAATGAAATTATACTGACTTGATCTATAAAGCTCCCTTCTCTCTGCTGAATAATTCTTAGTTCTCTAAGTTCATATATATTGTATCCATTTATGAGCGTTCTCTTATTATCTGGCCCTATAATGAAAGTCTCTATCAGATCATTTAACTCATCAAATCATATTTTATTTCATCTCTAGAGTGCCCATCTTTGAGCACTCTTCTTTGCTGGATCTGTTTATTCGTTTACTTATTGGACTTTTGACTTTTGCCTTTGTTGTTTTTGGAACACTGTAAACGCTTCGCAAGTATCCATTCCGATGGGGACTTATTTACTTTTAGTATTTCTGTTTGTCTCATGCAAATCGGCACGCTTGACCATGCGATTATTTATTTGTATGCGGGTCCTTTGGATTTACTTTCGATTCCTTGTGCCTCGCTGCCTTTCAATTAGGCTCGATGGGGCTAGAAGCAACAATTGCCTGGGCTAGGGCTGCTAAGATGTGGCATAAATCAAATGTCGCCGGCATTGGCAACAACATGTCAACAGCACAGTTGGCTGGCATGCCAAATGAGTCAACAGCAGCGCCAAAATGCAGCCAATTCGGAAAACGCTGCAGCAATGGGAAACAGTCCATGTCGATGTCGTTGGCCTGGTCGCCCATCTACGGCTGATGGGCGATGCGAGAGGGGAGAGTGAGATGAGGACGTTGCATGCGCGCTAGGATGGAGGCCGTATTCGTAATTGAAATACAAAGCCAATTTATTTACGAAATGCGATAAAACGCAAACAGCGAGAGTGGCTGGCAATAGCAGCAGCAGGGCAAGAGAGGCAGGAGGGTTGGGAAGGGGGACGGCTCGATAGGTAGAGGGACCAAAAACGGTTACAGCAACGGGAAGATGAAATAAAGCATCAAAGTGGCAATCACGCCAATCACGCGTAATAAATCATTGCGTGAGTGTATTCGTGCATACTTATATATAAGTGTGTGTGTGTGTGTGTGTGTGTGTGTGTGGGTGAGCAGCCATGTCAAAAATGACGACAACTCAGCTAACGGCGGTCACGTGTTGTCAGCACACGCGAAACAACGCCAGCTTACACTAACACGCACACACGCACGCACACTCACGCACACACACGCATGCGAATGTTTGCTTACGCTTGTTTATTGACGGCCATATAAAAGCGGATGTGAATTGGCCAAGGAAACGAGAGCGCCGTGTGTTGGGTGGTGCCGTGGTGCTGCTTGTTATTATGCAAATATTCATTAAAAGTCCAAAATGCTTTGATTAACTCATGACAGTTGCAAGAACTTAGCCAGTCCGTGCTCCAGTGGAGTGGAGTGCCCGCTCCTTCGGCATCTCACGGTTTCCGTGCCATCAAGAAGAGCTCCGGTTCACCTCACGTGGCAGCAGCTACAGCAGCCTCGGCACCTGCTTTTATCGCTCGCAAGCAGCCCGTGTAATTTCCAGCCGTAATTGGTGTAATTGAGTGCAAGAGCGAAGAAAATATTCAACATGCCAGCAATTAACATAAATTCCCGCCCAGAGACAAGTGGAGGGCCATTTTGGAAAGCCGACTGCAAAATGCACTCTCAAATTACATATTAGTCAAATCTAAATGATTTGAGATACTTTTTGAAACATATATCTATATACATATAGTAATATCATTAAAAAA